ATTAAAACCATAAAATCCAATTTAACAGCAATATCACAAAATAATTTAAAAAGAACACGTCTTCAGAATTTCCAACACACAGTCTTGCATGCTGGAGATAAAATTATTTTTTTTCTCCGTACAGAGTTTGCTTGCTTTGAAACTGTTGAGTTACTTAATCAAAAACTCCTAAATGCTTTACAAAATACGAAATACATAATAAAACAAATTTCAAATTTTGGCTTTCAGATGCCCATATTCCAGTGGAAATGTACGTTACTTAAATTTGATGGCTCTAAGTACTACCATTGTTTTATCACAATGTGAGAAACATACATAAATTTATGCAGATTCTTCATTATTTAATTTCTTTAAATATAAAACAGGGCAATAATGTTTGGTGGCAACAATTTAAAAAGTGAAATGCCACAAAATGCCAAAACGAAATTAATATCCCTTTGGGATAAAAAAAAAACCACTCAAAAAATGAATTCATTAAGATATGACAACATCCTTACCTCAGCTTTTTTGTTAAGGATTTGTATTGAGTATATAGAACAGAATTGTGTCTGACTGCGGTCAAAATCTACATCTAAGTAAGGTTGCTGTTTTCCCTAAATTATAAATAATGTAAATTCAGCAAAATTAAAAACTGGGAGATTTAGAAATTTTACCGGAAGACCAGGAGTTGTCATGAAAACTGAGAAATCTTGTTTTGTTCCATGAGAAATAGCAGCTCTAATAAGCTATTGTTTACACCAGTACAAATTTCACAGATCAGTTGTTTCTTTCCTTCCCTCCCCTTTCAAAAAACTTTACAAGGTAGTCAAGAATTACTACATAAGTTAATTGTAATATTCTTATTACCATTTGCCTACAATCATATTTAAATATACGTGTCTTTGGTTTCCTTCTTACTCATCCTGGTTATTGATTTTTAATCTACCTAAAGTTTAAGAAATAGTAGTTATAGCACAGTATTAAATTCAGAGGTTACTAAAAGCTTACGCTGATGTACAGTTTTCAGTTGTCCAAGCATGCAGAAGAATGTAAGCAATATAAAAGCGAAACCTAACCTAAGACGCCTTAAACACTACGATAGATATTCAGCGTTCAAGTAATCAGCGATACTCAAGGCAGACAGGGGCACTAGTTGGTGTACTAAGTGTATGGCACAGCAATTTATGAAAGGCAATTAGGTACATAGTAGCCAGTTTGTTATATTTTTCATCATCGATCATATTATTTTCCAAACTAGTAAACTATTGTTATTGTAATGTAGATGCTGTTGTAATATTGGTTGTCGGCTGATGAAACTTTTGGTTTTGGACAGAAAGCTGGATATTTCGCAGACCGGCAGTTGAGAAACACTGGTTTACACAATCTGGAATCATTTTACCACATGAAATTTTAAACAATTTCCCACTTCGAAAAATTTTTTTTTGTTAATCTATTACTTGGTACACATTAAAAAATATAAGAATTCTACAAATAATTAGGTAAACTACCTTTCTGCCCTTTTTTAATGAATGCATTATTATGAATAAGCTTATTAATTAGAAGTTAAAGGCAAAGAGAAATAATAGTACACGGTTTGTAACATTCTGCAAATATCTTGAAAAGAAACATGTGATGTACCATATTCAATAGAAGAAAGAGTTCTACGGACAATGGATATTCTGAACAGTGTTTACAATTCACCCAACAACAAATTTCCATATTCTACCATATAACGAATATAACTTTAATATTCAAAAACCAATCTCTAGCTTGAGAGCAATAAGAAGCAATGCTCATGTACAGAAGAAATGAATATAATATAATTTAAGGCCATGCAAATGGAGATTAATTCATCATGATCAGAATTTTTACAAAAATTGCTGAAAATATTTAAAAATGTATGCAGCACAATTTGATTGGAATGATAATTAAAACTTTCCTACAGAAAAATAGGAATTTTGGAGAAACAATAATTTCCAGCAAATATGTCTAAAACTCAGTTGAATGAATGGAATTTATGTCATGAAATATATCTTGCAAGCAAGAATGGTTAATCTTTGGATTGTGGTAACTTGGTGATTTTTTGGCGAAAACTTGTCGACCAACCCTGCTACAGCAGCCTGCTAGTTTTTGTTTGGACGCCATTTTAAGTAAAGGCATTTTTTTTTTTTTACTCAACATACACTTTTTTTTTCCAACAATCTGCTAGCCGAATTACGCTTATGCTAGAACTTTTATGGAGCAAAAGTGCTTAATCATGATGAAGATTAGGTGCGAAATTGGGACAAAGTGCAGAATCGCCCACTGCTTGCCGCGTTTTTACGAATTGCACACGGTATCATCCAGGTACACGTCGACTTATTTTCACTTAAAATACGGTTGATCTTTAGATTATGGTAACATCGCGAAAATTTGGCGACCAACGCTCCTACAGCAACCCTCTATTTTTTTTTCCCGCCGCCATTTTGTCTTCACGAAGTAAAGACATGTTTCTTTTCTTTTTATCTACTGAACACTTCTTCCAACAATCTAGTAGCCGAATTACACTTATGCTAGAAATTTTATCTAACAAAACTGCTTAATCATAACAAATATTCACTGCAAAATTGGAAAAAATTTCACGAAAATACATGACAATTTTCTGAATCTTTAAACCCGGTAAAAAGAACATATATGAAATTACCTATTGCGAAAAAGTATATACCCTTTCCAAATATGAACATTTCCACGTATAAAATAAACAAAATATCCAAAAACTTTCACCTCTAAATTATCTATTATATTATAAATGTGACCAACGAATTCATACCACAAGCATTACAAATACTTAGTATCAAATATTTAAATTATTTCCATGCACGTTTACTTCAACTAAAACGTATACCAAATTCCTACAAACATAAAATTCACAAAATAACTATCATTTAATTAAATATCACTAAACCATGAACACGTCAACTTATTTTACTTAAAAAAAAATCCCAGAATTGCACACAAAAATGGCATTGCGCACACTCTTCTTCACCATATCCATGTACACTCCTTTTTCCTCATAAATTAGAAAAATTTCACGAAAATGCATGACAATTTTCTGAATCTTTAAACCCATTAAAAAGAACATATATGAAATTACCTAATAACGAAAAAGTATATACCCTTTCCAAATATGAACATTTCCACGTATAAAAATAAACAAAAATATCCAAAAAATTTTTACCTCTAAATTATCTATTATATATAAACGTCACCAACGAATTCATACCGCAAACATTACAAATACTTAGTGTCAAATATTTAAATATTTCCATGCACGTTTACTACTTCAACTAAACGTATACCAAATTCCTACAAACATAAAATTCACACAAAATAACTATCATTTATTAAAATATAATTAAATTCAAAAAACACTACTTAAAATATAAATAAGCACATACATTAAATTAATAAAAAAATTAGCTTACAATCCTAATTACTTTAAACTAAATCATTGCTAATAACAATTTTCCCAATAATACCAAATTACTTCCACCTTACATTTAGAACAATGCATAAAAAATAATATCCTCAAATAATTAAAAATACTAACTTACCTAATCTTCTTCAGAATCTTGATTACGTGTCCGATAAACTTTTCTATTTCCTCCGCTACAAAAAGCAAGCGTATGTGTGCCTGTTTCAGGATCTTTAAAATCATATTATAAGTTCACAGGAAGGTACCAGGTAAAATAAATAACTTAATAAACATCTTTTACTTCTATCTCGCACAACCTTAAAGAAACACTTATTACTACACCCCTTTCAATCCCACTAAATACCCATTTCGAATTCACTTTACTTAGGGCCATGGGATCCAAAAATTAACGACACCGTTTTCACACAACAAGATAAAGCCAAATACAAAATTTCCAGATTTTTTCCCGATTTCCCCCCTTTTCCGATTAAAGAACCGTAATTCATCCGTTAATATCACATGACATATCCCATGATCTCTCATTTCCCTCACACAAAATAACGCGTAATCGGAACTGAGTACTGCTCACGTTATTATCAAAGTCCCAGATAGTAACCTTTATCGCCTCCAAAATGTCACCAAACTACCAGTTACCATATTCTAAAGATCAGCCAAAAAAAATGCCAGAATTGCACAAAAATGGCATTGCGCACACTCTTGACTATATCCACGTACACTGCTTAAGTCCTAGCTAGTAACCTTTATCGCCTTATCAAAATGTCGCCAAATCACCTGTTACCATATTCCAAAAATTAGCCTCAACAATAAAAAGGAATAATACAGGACGATAATGAAAAATGTTTTACTGAATGTGGATAAAAGTATTTAAGTGCTTTAAATTTTAAAGAATCTCTAATCAAAATGCTTTTAAAAAATTATTTAATGCCTGCTGTATTTAGCAGATAAAATTTTTAATGGAAGTATTCAAATTACCGTTAAAAATTCATGTAAGAAATAATGCTAAAATTTACATAACCAGTGCCCAAAAAGTTTGTGAAATTGAGCAAGAATACAGACTTATTATGAAAGTTAAAAGTAATAGTCAATATAACTTGAACACGCATCTTTTAATGCAACTATCACTGTAGATGGTGAACTTTATTCATAACGTGCCCTTTCCAATTAAACAGTTAATAGTATTAATGCATTTCTAATACTTTTTGGACATACTGTCTTGGTTTCTTGAGAATTTAAAAAATGTTAAACTTAATACACCTCATAATGCTGTTTCTGTGTACCAATTAATTACAATCATACATACAACTTGCGATTCTGAGATTTATTTACGTTTTTATCAAGCTGATGAAATGAAATGAATTTTCAGATCTTCTTTGCGATATTTCTATTTTAAAGCACTCCATAAAAAAAAAGTAATAATGCACTCAAAATGACATAAAGCTAATTATTTATAATTTTTTTAATACGCATTAATTATAATTTTTGCAATGAGGTACATTACAATCCGGCTAATTTAAAATAAAAACGCACAGAGAGTTAGTTTTCTTACTTTACGATACAGCTTCATATTTTGCACTGAAAACGTTATACTGCATAAGGTAAAATCTCACAACATATATTATAACCATCTACATTCTCAACATATGAACTCAGCAAATACATTTTGCACCGATTCCTGCATTATAAAATTTTTGCAAAAAGTAAGACAGACAGACAAAGTAGGCAGATGTCTTGTTTTGCACCCGCTAAGTCTTTCTGCACAGATGGGCGAAAATCGAAGCTGTCCGTAAGTAATTCTGATGTAAACAAACATAATAACAACAACTTTAACCTAAGTTCCCTGGGTGAAGTTTTCAATAAGTAATCTGTTCAAAGCACTCTCACTAACTAATATAATTATGAAAATTTTTGCCAAAATGCCAGAGATTCGATCAACGGAAAACCCAATCTACAAACTTTTCCTATTATTCAACCTATTTGAATAAATATTTATGCAAAGTAATGTCAGCGTATAGTATTTTTTATATATAAGCTTTAAAAATATATATTCTATTTCTTGTTAGCATTATTATGTATGTATTTTGATAAATAACCTATTTTTTTCTCCGCTGGTTACTGGTCTTCACCCTTGTATGTTGCCATAGCTCATGATTCTTAGCTCACTTATTTCAGTAAATTTATTTCCCATCTTAAAAGTACAGTTATATTACCAGTGTCTTAATCTACAGTAATTACTTAATTAACTTAATTTAATTCTCAATTTGTATCTCACCGAATGCTTCTGTACTACCTTATCTCTCATGTATTAAAAAACTCTCTTACAGCATTTCAAGTCACCAGCTCCTCCAACAATTTCCCAGATGCTTTGGCGTTTTCACCTCTCGACTGGTTTCACGCACACTTAATGTTTATTCTAATTTGCTAGCAGCACTCCCAACTTCAAAATTTTTATCACTATTTACATTATACTTTTCACTTTATAGCTTACAAAATTAGTTCGATAAGGGGTAGAGCGTTCTGCCCAGGTACCCTGATGCTAGCACTAAGGCTCATCTAAGGTATATAGAAGCCTTAGCTAGCTCCTTCTACTGTGAAACCGATGTCCCGTAAATGTTGCGACAAACTTCTGTGGGAGATAAGATACATCATAAGGGTTAAGAATTGCATAGCAACCCATGTTCGGAAATGTCAGGGGTAAGTGGAGCAGAGGTAGAAGATGGGAAAGGAAACAAGAGAGTGATTAATTTATTGGACATGAATACAAATGGTGTACGACAGCTTGAATGTCACAACAGATACTCGAAGTTTGCACCATCAGACGCCAAACATGCCTGACACTGGCAGACCATTGATTGCTGGACGTTTTTAAACACACCGGATGCTCTCTGATTGCAGCAGTTGCGCGGGCGAGTCTTGCCACAAACATTCATTGTGGTGATTGAATACGCCCTACGTTCTTTTGAATAACATCATTTGATTTTGTACCAAGCATACGAGAAATGGTCTTATACAAAGAAGAATGAAATTTTCATTATAATCTTATTGCTATGCGTTGTTAATTTAAATTTTAAATTTGTCATAAGGTTCTACGGAAATTTTTATTATCCGTAAGCACTTCTACTTCTCTTTGACCTTCGAAACTTCGGCTGCTTCAGAGGTGACTTTTGAAAATTTCGCTCCAATTCTTGAACGTTGTTATTATATCTCGTAGATGCTGCTAGTCGTATGTTATTGAAACACGCGTTATTTGCTAAATACTAGTTTAATTAAGCATTTCAGAAAACTTTTATTGCTATATTTAAGGGTTTGTTCTGTAGTAATTTTGTATTCAAAATTTTTACCGTTTCATTTATTTATGAAAAAATTGAATTGAAACTAATGAGTATATTATTTCTACATAAATTTTTTTAATGGCAGTTTTTAAGGACTGACAATTGATTTTTAATTTTCTTTTTTTCTTTAATAATAATAATAATAGTTCTTAGTCAAGGCAATAAAATAAAATCCAAGGGGCTGTCAGTCGTGATTTGAAATAAAAATAGTTATACTTCTAGTGAGGATGAATTTTAAAAGCTAGTGATTTAGCTTCTGTTTCCTCCGTTTTCTTTTTTTTTTTTTTTTTTTCTGGGGCTTATTAAACAGTTACATTTTTTGTAAAGTCGATTATGAAGATGGTGATATTAAATATTTTTTTCTTCTGTTTATTTAGAAAATGGATACTATTTAGTCAGTTGGGAAAAAAAAGGGAGAACAATAACTTTCCATTATGGCTGGTACCCATCCTTTAAGTGTTCAAGTTCGTGTTCATCATCTGAATGAGAAAGAAAATCTGGAATCGTTACTCTTCTCAGTGAAAAAAGGTATTTTTAATGCAGATTAGTAATTATTTTCATTATGAAAGTTATGTTTCTCGTTTCAAAAAGAGTTTGGTTTAGTCGTACTGATATAGTCCATAATATGGATATGACATTCGAGTTCTTGAATTCCATAAAGTGAAAGATTTAAAATTCAAAGCTCGAATTATCATACTGTTTTCCCAATTCAATTCTTTCAAATCTTAATCTAAAAAATTGCATATTTTAACTCAAAGCTTTGTAAATATTATTGATATGCTGTAGAAGCATTAAGTAAAAAAAAGTATATATAATAATTAATTGAAAAAGAAAATGTAAAGCTAACTGGTAATTAGACGTAAGACCTATCTGGTCTCAAAAACTTTAGCACATATAATTTATTTACTAAAGAATATGTTATATTACCTCCTAATATAAATTTAGTAGAAGTATCAAAAAAGAGTGAACCCATATGTAGGAAGTTAATTTCAAAAATTGTGTTTTAAAGTAACTTGAATGTAAATTATTAAAAATGTTTATGAGGACTTGAATTAAATCATGAATAAAAAAATTTCAAACTTTGAAAAAGAAATTAAATTAAAAGCAAGTAATTATCGCTATTGATCAGAAATTAGTTGACTTTTCAAGGGGAACAAACCAACTCCCGTTCAGTGAACAATAATTAATAAATACGAAGATGTTTCGTCGGCTAATCTTTAGAATATGGTAACAGGTAGTTTGGCAACATTTTGGCTAGGTGATAAAGGTTACTAGCTAGGACCTTAGCAATCATCTGAGAAGTTCACAGTTCGAACCACAGATTATTTTGTCTCGGAGAAATGAGAGATCATGAGACATGTAATGTAACATTTTCCGGAAAATTGCAATCGTGATTTTAGCTAATAAGCACTTAGAAACAATTTCACTGCTAAGGTGCAGAATCGCCCACTCATTTGTTTGACGCTTTTTAAAAGAATAAGAAGAATTGGATTTGTGTCAATTTTCTTTGACTTTTTAAGTGAAAATAGGTCAATGTCAACCATTTTTGTGTAATTCTAGGATTTTTTTAAGTGAAAATAGGTTGACGTGTACATGGATACCGTGTATGTGCAATTCTTAAAAACGCAGCAAGCAGTGGGCAATTCTGCACTTTCTCCCAATTTCGCACCTAATCTTCGTCATGATTAAGCACTTTTGTTCCATAAAAGTTCTAGCTTAAGCGTAATTCGACTAGCAGATAGTTGGAAAAAATGTTGAGTAAAAAAAAAAAAAAAAAAAAACCTTTACTTCGTAAAAACAAAGTGCCGTCCCCCCCCAAAAAAAACTAGCAGGTTGCTGTAGCTGGGTTGGTTGCCAAAAAATCGTCAAGTTGCCATAATCCTAAGATTCACAGTTTCGGCTTTTACTCAAGTAAGAATGGTTATGCCAAACCGGCAAATTAAGTTAGGCCAAAAATTTCCTTGAAGTGAGGGGATTTAGAATCAAATTAGAGTACCAAAGAACTCGTTCTGAATTAAGCATTTTCGCTAATACAAATTTTGAGTGAAAAGCAATTTATGTAGTATATATTTATGTATTTATAAATTACTTGAATAAATTTCCCCCGACACCTTCACTTTTATGCATGTTAATGAAGATGATACAACATTATATATATATATATGCAATATATTGGACCTAAATTAACAATATAACTTCATGAGAGGTCTGAGTGTCAATTTAAATTTTCTGGAGAAGGTAGCATTTTACATTTGGTGCTTATCTATGTTAACTCTTGAAATAATGTCTCATGCTTTCTACACTTGGTTTGAAAACCATAAAAAAGGGAAAACATGTTATGCATTTAAGCACTACCAAAGCAAATACAGTCAAAAGTCGTTAATCCGGACTCGTCGGGACTTCGGCAATTCCGGATTATCAATTTTTCCGGATTATAGATCATCAGTTTAAATCTGGTAAGATGGCATGTAGAAATTCTAAAATTAAAAATATGAAACCGTAATTTATGAAATAAAGAACAATTATACTTTTTAATAAAGGGTATCAAAATTTACAAAAAAAAAGCTTAATATTTATTTGTTTACTTTATTAAACATTTCTTTCAATGTAAGTTGTTAAGCTGCTTCGTTTTATGTGATAATACTTTCTCTTTAATTCTATAAACAGACATAATTTCTTGTTCAGTTACAAAGTTCCGCTGTTCAAGTCCTTTAATTGCTGTGTCGAGAATACCGACTAATTTGTCAATCAAAATTTTTTCGTTTTCAATAACCTCTGTGTCACTTTCTTCACTATCGGAAACAAATTATAATGACAAGGAATTTGATTTAAATCATATCAAAGACGGAATACATCGAGATGAAATACTACATTTAGTAAGAAATTATAAGCAAAATAAAATGAAAACATCTGGCCTGAAGATAAGGATAGTGCTGACAGATCAACTTCCAATTCTTTGCGTACAACCCCCCCCCGCCGCAGAGCAGCGTGAAATTGATAAACAGATTTCGGAATGGCTAGGTCATTTTTTGCAGCAATTCCACTTTTGTTTCATAGACTTTGAAACATACTTTCACTTTGTAGATCCTTTACATATTAGTAAATATATATCGAAAATTCTATTTGACATAATCGAAAGTTCAAGCTTACTTTTATAAAATTGCTCTAACAGTCTGCAAAAAATAATAAGCTGGATCCAATTAGAAGATTAAGGAACAACGCAGTCTGCAACATTAACTGAATTAGATAATTTTAGCTTAGCTTAGCTTATACCGTCCTTTATACATTAAACGCACATGTGTAAACATATTTTGCGCATGCGCACACACATAAAGGTCTTATGCGCATGCATCAACGGGATGCATGCGCAGAAAGTTTGTAGCTTTGAGGTCCGGATTATAGATCATTCCAGATTATGGGTGTCCGAATTAGAGACTTTTGACTGTATTCACTTAACATGATTTTCGAGTTCGCTTCGTACACCCAGAAAATCAAAATATCAGTCATACTCAAATGACTTTTTTCAAACCAGGTACTCTGATCGAACGCTTCACATAGTGACCTTCTGAACCTTTCTTCCTACAAACCCATTCAAATCCATCTAAACGGTTTTAACACACACCACAAAAACACTTACAAAACATCCCATGATTCAAATTTTCTCAGAATCATGCACCCGATTACGTCACAATAGGGTTTCCATAACATTCAACTACTCAGGCTACCATAAATGAAACAACAACTTGGCGATAAATAAAACAACTTCGCCATAATACAAGGGGTACCATAATACAAGGGGTACTTCGCCATAATACAAGTCTACTCTACCCTAAAAAGTTGACAATTCATGGGCAACTTTGTGAATTGGTAAAAAAAACATTTGTTTAGCCATCTTTTTAGGTGAGAGGTTACTATTGTGTTTGTAAACAATATTAAAAAGTATAAGGGAAAAAAAAAATTCTGTGTTGCTGATATTTAAATTTTTACAGTCAGTAAATACTGTTTAACTGTGGTATATAAAGAATATAAATCCATGTGTACTCAAGTGTGTATGTACATGCTTAGGTTAGCTGTTGTCACATATCTTATCAAAAATATGCTTAAAGCACAGCAGTTCTACTGAATGTAGAAGCAAGTGCTTCATATAATCAAAGTTTTAGGGAATATGTAAACATTTGAATTGTTATACAAATATATAGAGAAAATAAGTATAAAAATTCAAAAGTATTAATTATTCATTTCATTTGTATCATAATAAATGTAAATGGTCCATTTTCAAATTTTGCTTTCATATGCTGTGTTGGATCCTAGCAGAGCCCACACACCTGGTGCACTCAATTATATGGCACGTATCGATGTGTACATGGACAAAGTCAAAGGAGTGTGCAATGCCAAGTTTGTGCAATACTGGGATTTTTTTTAAGTGAAAATAGGTTGATGTGTACATGGATACTGAGTTTGTGCAATTTTTTTACTTGTTATTTTCAAGTTGGCGATTTTTGGAAACATGCAAAGCAGTGGGTGATTCTGCAGTTTCCCAATTTGTCGTCAAGGCTGTGGGCTCTCCTAGGATTTTACCCCATATGCTGTCCCAGAAGAAATGAAAAAAAAATTCAAAATAAATTATGTTTAAAGTTTAATTTGAGCAATGCAGTGTATAAAGATGACTATAAATATATTTCTACAATTCAAAATAATAATAAAAATTAATTTTTCAGATATAAATCTTAAAATGTGTGTGATTATGGCAAAGCGTCGAGGGCTATGTTCCTAAGGGGAGGGATGCCTTCGTGGAGGACTTTCTAAGGGAAACTGGCTCGTATATACGTTACACATGGGAAAAACCATGAAAACGCCCATGCAGCCACCCGTTCGTGGATTCGAACCTTGGACCGAACTACCAGTATTCAGCGACTTTATCGCTCAGCTGCTGGTGGGCAAGCTTAAAATATGTAATCGTAGGCAAAAATGCCTGTCATTTTCAAGTTTCATGTTATTCAACCTCTTTGTTTTGTAACCTAATTTATTTTTTTAAATAAAGAAGTTGAATTTTTTTAAATATGAACTATTAGTGTGTTATAGTCATGATAAAAATTAATTTTAAAAAGTTTTTTTATTAACAAATCAATAGAAAAATAATTTGTCTTCCACTTCATATCAAGTCTGTTACCTTGAGATAATTTTACCCAAAATTAGTTTGTAAATCTGTCTAAAAGAGGCAGTACATATTAAGTGACATAGATAAACTAGTCAATCTAAGTTTGACTACTTTGAATATGTACTATATAATGAGAAGAAAGGATTAAGGACTTAAAACTAGTTCAAAGGATCGAAAATCCTCTTCCTTGCAGCTGTGAGGTTCATCTATTTTTTTGGTATAAGGAGATGACACCTATTGAATTCTATGAACTCCAACTAAAGATGAACCGCTGTACAAATGTAGATTGGAACAGTTACATATGTGAGGTGAGTGCTGCAGCTTTGCTCTGCCTAAGTTGAAAATCAGTAGATTTGATAGAATTATTGAA